TCTCCCCTTGTATTACCATCTTGATACCCTCTACCAACCACCCTGAACCATACATCATTTCTTCCCCTACGTATTCCACCACCAATTCCACATCCTATCTCTATCCCCCCTCCCTAGCGGCATTCTTCACCCATATTCGCTCTCCCTCACCCCCACGGCCAAAATTGACCACGACATTGCCTTTTACCCATCCCATTTTAAATTATTTAATGCAATTAAACCTACATTGTTATTATCATGATTAATTTTCCCTTATTAAATTAATAAGGGTATTATTACTTTCATTATTGATGATTATTCTTAATTTATCATTAGCATTTTTATCAGTAATATTTCTTGATTATTAAATTCTTTAGCCCGTCGAGATACCAACTCATCTCCATCCTTACCGGTTACAGACCACTCCCCCCCAAGCAAAGTACGAAATATCATTCACTGTTCCTGTAAGGGAAACCGATAACATCTACCACCTGACCCCCCCCTGAGTAATACCGCTCATAGGAGGGACTTACTATACTTCCTCCGAATCTCACAACTTGAGYGGCAGCCATGGCCGGGGCAGCTGCCAGTGCCTCAGGCACTTTTCCCACTCACTCTGACACGAGCGATGCCGAACTCCGAAAACGGACCGATATGATGGAAGGCTGGTACTTGAACCACGTCTCTCAAGACGTGTCCGACTATGTTGAGACCACAGTGAATGAAGAAGAAGATTGCATTGAGATCCGACCAAAGGACAACATTCAAATGGTGCAGAACGAATTCCTCAAGAAGATGTTGGTAACAATCGTCTTTCAAGGGGAGACCAAGAACTGGTCTAACGATAAGAAAGTCGACTTGATCCGCTATCTTGAGGAATCAGTTCTAACGGAAGAAGAACTAACCTCTCAGAAGGGTGTTGCACACATGGAAGGCAGGGGCCAAATGACATATATTGCAAAGAATTTTAAGGTGGTTGATTGGTTGTTGAATATCAAAAAGGAAATGCAATTCAAGGAGGGCACGAAATGGAACTACGTGTACTTCCGTCCATGGCTACCCCGTGCTGAATGGCAGAGGAAAAGGGAAGAAGATAAAAAGAAAAATTATTGGGTCATGGCCATGCGTTTCCCCATTGCCGCGTCGATGTTCATCAAAATGGGCATCGAGACGGTAATGGGGAAGGTGGTCAAGGAATTTGATCCGGTTGGTGATTTGGAGGACCCCAAATTGGGAAACCTGAAGTATCAGCTGCATCCCAGCGCCGAGGAGTGTTTCAGATCACGCCTGAAGGTTTGGACTGGACAGGACTATCTGATGGCAGATCTGGTGAACTCCAACACACCATGGTGCTCTAACTGCAAAAAGCATGGGCACAAAACAGAGGACTGCCCGTACTGTTATGTATGTTTTAAGTACGGCCATGGAACCGAAGACTGTCGATCAGATCCGGAAAACAGGCAGAAGAACGGRCCACAACCCACTCGCCCTGGTACACCSRGATACACCCCCTCMTCACRTGGGTTTAACTCAGGCTTTGGCAAAGGCAGAAACAGMTGGGATACCTCACCACACATGGGAGGCGCGGAACAACGTCCCACGGGCAGAAAACAGAATCCACGGTGGGAAACGAGCCCAACATTCAAGGCCCCACTGCAGCAAGCCGGCTGGTGGGCCAATGATCGTCATGCAGCAGAGAAGGGCAAAGGCCTGTCTCAGGGCCATCTCAAATGGCGCGCAACCGGTGAACTCCCTGGTGGCCCGCCAGGCCCCACCCTGTTTGGACAAGGCCTGCAGCCACTGGGCGGAGCCCCCTACCAACAATTGGCCAGACCGGGAGCCAAACCTCTTTTGGCCATCAAGGCCGCTGGGGAACAGACCACAACCACTGAAGAGCCAGGAACTTCCTCCTCAGTCCCGACTCAGCAAGAACATGCGCAGAAACTAACAGCGGGGGGTTCTCCGCCAAAACAAGCACTGAAGAAGAAAAGAACTGAGGACCTCAAAATGGCAAACGTGGCACAACCCACCACACCGCTGCCACAATGGGTTGGTCCTGTGGCTCCCCTCACACAGCATGACACTCCCTTTGTCCTGGCTCCGCTTATTTTTAAGCAGACCAATCAAAGCACCATGCTGCTCTTGCAGCAGAAGGAGGATGACAGTCTGTACCTACTATCTCTCACTTCCTTCACCTTCCCTCAGCCTGAGAATTTTCTCCAGGCAGCAAGGAAGACCTTGGACAACAAGTACTTCGTGAGACAGGTACCAGCAATCCCCGGAGCCTCAACCTATAGGAAAGGTCACTTAGGTACGTCCCATCCTATAGTGTCCCTATGTTTGGAAGCCGCAATTGGACCCAATGTCGACCCAAAGATCGCAGATGAAGGGCTGCTTTGGGCACCTATGTCCTGGTTCAGGAAAAACAACAAGAAGGAGAAATTTTATCCTTCACTGGGCGATGGAATCTCAGGAGATATTATCGCAGAGCTTGACGGTAACCTGCCCAAGGAACGTTCTCTCTCCTCCAAGTATATCCTTAGCACCCTTGGTTCAGGAATCAGGCACAGACCCGCTGGGACACTGGGCCTGGACCTCCCTGGAGATAGACCATAAGATATGGCTATTCATGTCAGTATATGTTCCATCAGAGCACTCACAAAAGACTCAGTTCATTGCTGAACTGGGGGCGAAAATTCCTAAGGCAGACTTTGTGATCATTGGGGGGGACTGGAACACAGTCCCCAACTAAGTCATAGACTCCACTACGCCCCTTTCTCACCCAGGAGAATCAGCCACTCTGAATGATTTTATGATAGATTGGAGCTTATTCGACCCCTTCCGATCCATGCATCCGGACACAAGGGTATACACATGGACATCCTCTACACATAATGAGGACATGACACTCACGAAAAGACGTCTGGATTTCTTTCTAACAAACGAGGCTGTAATCCGACTCGCCAACAAAACGGATTATATTACAGATCCTTTGTCGGACCACACCCCAGCCCTCTTGGAGATCAACCTTGGTCTTCGCGCCTCCAAGGGGAAAGGGCTCTTTAGACTGAGCCTACATGTCTTAGAGGACCCTGGAATAGTGGACTGGATTTGGAAAACATGGGAAGAATGGCGAAACAACACAACCATCTTTGACAATGAGGGGGAATGGCTAGATAAGGGCCTCTCCCTTATATCAAACCAACTTAATCTAATCTCAAAAGTGAAAGCCGTTAATCGAAAATACCAAGAGATAAAGATTCAAAGGAAAATCCAAGCAATTGAGAACAAACCCACAGACTGCTTCTTCTCCGAGATTGTCAACCACAGGAGAAGGAACAGACTCCTTCAAGAATGGCAAAACCTGCAGATTAAAAATCACGATTTGTGGAATAAGTACAGACAGATCAACAGGATTCTTTACACTGACAGACTTAATAACAAGACTGCCAACGCTGTTAATCATCTCACGGACAAACCCTCTATCACCCTCTTGTCCCACCCCAATGACCCCACCCAGCCTCCCGCCAAGAATGCGGATAAACTCTGTGAATATGTCAAGGTCTTCTATGAACAACTCCTCACATCTGAAAAGCCACCGAACAGTCAGATTATACCACCTCAACTAGAGGAACGACTTTGGGGCTCCACAAACCGTATCTTATCGGACTTGGAATCTTCATCGCTAGAAAACCCCATCACAATGCCTGAACTCACTGCAGCGCTCAATAGTATGGCCAAGGGGAAGTGTCCGGGACCTGACGGTCTACCGGTAGAATTCTACATCCGGGTATGGCCTCTCATCGCCCCTGACCTCTTAMGAATCTTCAACAATATTCTTACAAACCAATCACTTGGTCCCCACACAGCGRAAGGCATCATCACCCTCCTATACAAGAAAGGTGACAAAACAGATGTGAGAAACTACCGTCCCATCTCCCTACTCAATGTACATGGTAAAATATTAGCCAAAACATTAGCTCGGAGAATCAAACCCCTACTAAATAAACTAGTCCTCCCGGATCAGTCTGGTTTTATACCAGGTAGACAAGTCCTAGACAACGTAATGACCATCTCTCAAACTATTGATTGGATCAACCTCCACAAACTTAATAAAGCAGTTATTTTGATAGACTTTCAAAAAGCCTACGACCGTGTAAACTGGGATTTTGTACAAACCACAATGGAGAAGGTAGGAGTGGGCCCCAACTTTAGAAAATTTGTCAAATCACTCTATGGAGCTTCAACAGGAAGGGTTCTGGTAAATGGTCACCCCTCCTCCCCCTTCAAAATTACTCGCTCTCTGCGTCAAGGCTGCCCCTTGGCCCCATCCCTATTTGTCATTCAACTGGAAATACTCCTTAACATGGTACGTAACCACCCGGATTACGAGAGACTTCAGATCTCCCCAAACTATTCTATCAAGGTCTCAGCTCTCGCGGATGACTTCTCTGCTATCTCCGAAAACTCTATCTCATCCTTGGCTGCTCTGGAAGAATGCCTAACAATTTACGAGACCGCGTCCGAAGTGCGAGTCAACTGGCAGAAATCAGTTGCTCTTACCCCGGATGGCCAACCCCTGGCATTAGATATGGGCATCCCAACCAAACGGAGGGCAGACTCAGAGCGCTACCTGGGCATTCAGGTCTCTTTTAAAGACCCATCAGGAACTCAATCATCCAGAATAGAGAATACTATCCGGGACGCCTGCGCCATGTGGTCCAAGATGCAGTTTCTGTCCTTGTTTGGTAGGGCAATGGTGATTAACACATTCATCTCCTCCAAAGTATGGTACATTCTGTCAATCAAAACTCTAACCACAGATTCCTCCAATAACATTCGCAGACTACTAACCCGACTGCTGTGGAAAGGTGACTCAGAAGCTAAGTCCGCACTTAGTAAAGTCAGTTGGGCGAAAATCACGGAGAAACGCAACGTCGGGGGCCTGGGAATACTAGAACCTATGACACAAAATCGCGCCTTAATAGCCAAATGGCCAATCAGGGCACTCACAGCACATGAGCAACAACCGTGGATGATACTCCTTCAACATTATTTAGCAAAAATGTGGCAGCTATCGGACCCAGCAGCCGTATGGAATGCTATTCTCATGCACCCCTTCATCTCGAAGCCCACAGGCAACACCTGGACCCACCTGCTCAAAGAATGGGGGAGGATGCTCCCCCAACCCCTCCATGACCCCAGATGCAAGCACGATATCCTGTTTGAGAACCCAGCCATTAGAAGTCAATCCGGAATTCCGTTCTCAGTTGCCAAGGCAGCAGGGAACTTTGGTCTGGGGTGGATGCAGCGAGGCATTTGGCTCATCCGTCACATCTGGGATATAGAGGAAAATAACTGGAAATCTGTGGAACAATTGAAACCTGCTCTCTCAGGCTTACACCAGACCCAACAGCATCTCAAATCTATTATTCAAGCAATTCCTATCGAATGGACAGAGATTCTTTCTACACAGGAGGCAGTATTCAGAGAGCAGCAGTGGTTTAAATCTAAGGAGCCCCCCCCCTCCTTTTACAGAGTTGAGGCAGTGATGGATAATGGCACAACAGAAGCGTCGGAATGGGTTCTAAGTAACTCACGGCTGGAACAAATCAAGGAAGCAAGGATGATCTCGCTCGCTGGCCTGGAGGAGATCAGAGTTACCCAAAAGAAGTCCCAGGAAGGCTCATCCGCCTTTCAGGTGATTATGCWGGCCATCCCAGTTAACGAATGGAAGATTGATGTCGTCAGATACGGTTGGCAAGTGACTAACACCAACGGCTCTGTCGGAAAAATCCCCCTCTCAGACTATTCATCTCAGCTGGGCTATAAACTACAATCAGAACCTCAGTCTCTTCAAACAGGCCTCTCCCTAAGTTGGTCTCGGAAGGTTTCCTCTCTCAGTCTACAACCTCTCTCTCCAAGGTGGCTCTTATCCTTCATCCATCTAATACTATCAACTATAGAAGTTAAGATAGACGGTTTACAGTGGTTGCATTTACATTCTTGTGTTCCCACCTCCCTGTGGTGCTCAGACAAAGGAATGGACGTACCGGTTCTCTGCGACGCATGCCCCCACCCCTGCCTAGAGGATGGGCTACACCTCTGGTGGGAATGCGTCATCGCCAGAGGGTTCTGGGAATTTCTCAATAAACTTTGGTTGGAGGCATACAATGTCAAGGACTTCTGGAACCAGGACACAGTCTTCACAGGCAGGGTGCAGCC